AAGTGTGGAATAAATTTCGTGAATTAAGTTTATGATAAAGAAAGTTGCAATAACTTTGGAACAAATTGTCGAGGAAGTTGTAATTTATCAATGAAACTCTTATCCTCTAATTACATTACGTGATAAATAATTCATGCATTCGAGTTATGATACTTGTGCGTGGAAGAAATGGTAATTTTGTGCATAATATTCAAATTTTTTTTTCTTTTTCTTTTTTCTTTTCTTTTTTACAAGAAATTTATTTCTCTTTCAATATATACCATATTGGACACGTTACTTTTATAAATTGTCCAATAATGATTAAAATGGTCGTAAAACTCATATTAATCTCCATTTCTTTTTTTTTTAATACAAAAATTTTTAAATATTTCTAACTTCTAAGTTTCAATTAAACTTCCTTTTTATTCTCCACGTGATACTTAATTCTCTTCTTCTAACACGTCTGTTTATTTTTCTTTTTTTTTTCTTTCAGAAACTACTGTTCAATAACGAAAAAAAGAAGAAGGATATCCCTTTCCCTAGATAGATAGAGATGGTAAATTGTAGAGATGGTAACTCGATATATTTTCAATAATCACGAACAAAATTTTCAAGATTTACGTTATCGAAACACATTTCTCTCATTATCATCTCGATCTGACAAAAAAAAAGAAATTTGCAAATCGAAAGCAATCAAAATCAATCGAATCGGAGCGACGATCGAGATGCGGAAATAATTCGTAAGATGGCGCAGGCTGTACTCAAATTTGCCACGAGTCTCTGGAACCGCGTCAGGGGCCGCGAATCACCCCTCTGGGAAGAAGTTATTCATAAGATTATTTCCCATTTTCGTCATGGCGGCGCTGTATCGTTATTTAAGTTTTATATTAAACCACGTTACCACCCGCGCCGCGGTTTTTTGATGGACGAGCGGCGCGTGTCCTGCTTTCCTTCAACGGATTCCGCCTAAACGTGAGATATCGTGGCCCGATCAATTTTTCATAAACGAACGTCCGCGAGTAGCGGGGAATTTTCACGCGACGTCAGGGAAATTCGACCCGTCGCCACGGCCGTTTTTCTTTATTACAGAGAACGATGCTCGCCCGTTTTTATTGGCTCGATAAAATCGTCTGGTCCGACATAATTTTTGCTCCCATTGTAATTGGTGACGAGTTCCCTCGCATTATTTAACTCTTGATTGATGGAAAATATTTTGAGAATGGAATTATAATGTATTGAAAATTTTTTTGGAGGGGGAAGGAGGGGAATAATTTAGAGTTTGTTGATTGATTGTATCGTATATTCGGTGTTGGTAAGAATACGTGACAATTATTCGTTGTATTATTCGATATTATCTTCATTGGTAATTTCGAGGATGGAATATCTTGGAATTTTTTTGAATAATAAGAATTCGTAATTTATAAATTGATATTTAATATTTCTTATAATAGCTTTTTTAAATATATTTTTATTATATTCTCCACTTTTAGTATTATATTGGTTTTAAATTATAATTAGTATGTTGAAATAACATGTATTACACCATAGTTTTATT